TTTGCTCAGGAAATCTGTGGGGCAGATTCTATTGTTATCCCCATTTTACATATGAGGAAAATGCAGATTGTGGGAGTCCAGCAGTTCGTGAAAGTAACTCACCTGGTAGGCGTGGGACCCAGACATTTTAGCCAGATTCTGGACTTCAGACGTTTGTCTGGTATCATTCCCTCCTCATATGGCAGTGAATACTAACTAGAAGTCATGGTCTCCATTTTTTAAAAAAGGTCTCAGAAAAGCCCAATTTGTGTTGATGCTTTTCAGGAATCCCAGCTACTTGGGAGGCTGAGACGGGAGGATCATGAGTTTGAGGCCAACCTGGGCAACTTAGTGAGACCTAGTCTCAAAGTAAAATTTTAGGAAAGGGGCTGGAGGTGTAGTTCTGTGTTAGAGCACTTCCCTAGCATGGATCAGTGCCTGGGTTCAGTCCCCAGTGCCACGAAAAAGCAAAAGGTTCCAGTTTTGCCAACAGAACCTGCTAATGATGTTCAAAGATGTGGTAAGAAAATCAATGTAAAAACCAAAACCAGATATGTATTAAAATTAGGTTATAAGGAAGAGATTGAGTTGGAAAGTATATATATTTTTTGGTACTGAGACTCAGTACCCTGTTCTTGTCAGGCACGTGCTGTGCTGCTGAGCTATCGCCCCAGTAAGTTGGAAAATACTTGAAGTGAAACTATTTCTGTCTGAAAATGCAGGAAGGAATTGATTTCTGGCTGGTGCTACCTCCAGCTGCCTTTTGCAGTGAGAAGAATCCTGGTTTTTTGGAGGTCACGGCGGTCTCTGCCAAGAGCGTCACTGGCCACCAGTGAGGTCCATGCGCTCGCTGCCGACAAGATCCAAGGAGGCCGCTTGTTTTGGTGGAAAGGAAAAAGATTTGTTCAAAGCTAGCAGGGAGGAGGACAAGGGGCCAGGTCACTCAGATCTCCAGCTCCCTGTGCACGGGTCTTTTAGGGCACGAACAGCGGCAGGAGCAAACAGTGAGGTCTCGGCCGCCTCAGCCCCTCCTGGACTGGGCCCCTCCTCCAGTCCCTCAGGAAGTGAAACTGGACTTGGACCTCCTGGGACCAGAATCTGCTTATTCTGTCCATTCTTCTGGGCTCAGAGGCGGTGGCTGTTTATGACTTGGGCCTCGGGTTTGGAGAAGCCACTTGTCTCTTAAAGGAAAAGATCTAACTTTAAAAGTCATACTTTGCCTTGTTGGCTAGAAAAGGTGTGATTTGTAACAGGGTGGGCGGGACCAATACTGTTCTAGTGAGATACCTGTTATTTTTGTACCTTTTTAAAATTTTTTATTTTTTTCATACGTGCTTATAGTATATAACAATTACATTCCTTGGGGGGAGTTGGTACACGCACATAACACATCTCAATTCCTTTTTTCATCACCTCTCCCCGCTCCCTCTCCCTGTCTCCCTGACCCCTTTGGTTACACTACAAGTGGCACATAACCAAACGGAAACATGTCCCTAGCAACAGAGCTGCTTCCCTCATTTAGAAGACTGTTTTGTGTGCTTATTTTCTTGTCTGAAAGAGAAAAAGCCTTATAAATGTAGCACTTTATTTTTAGAGGTTGAGATACTGGTGAATATAGATAGTAGAATGTCTACAAATATCATCAGATGTACTTAGCAAGCGTTATGTTAATTGAGACCTAAAACGTATTTAACTAGGGAGAGAACTACATTGTTGTCATGGCAGACCCAGTTGTCAGCCGTGGTTATCTTACCTTTATAAGCCTTTCGAAAACAATTTCTTGTTCATGAATCATACACTCACAGTTTTTATCTCATTGGAGCTTTAGGTTTTACCCCATTGTATTTGTTTAGTAGTTCAGGCTGGCCTTGAAATCCTGGTGATCCTCCTGTTTTAGCCTCCCAAGTGCTGGGATTACAGGTGTGTGCCACCATGCCTGGATAATATTCAACAAATATTTGAATACTGTATGCTAACAGGGCATGTATCCTGACGAAGCTTACAGATTAATGAAAGATTTAAAAAAAATTATACAGATTAGGAAATCATGGGTACTACGGAAGTGAACTAAAGGTTTTAACCTAAAATGAGGAAAGGAAAGCCTTGACCTAAAGGATTCGTCCTTTTTAGCCAGTTAGGATTGCCCACTCTAGCAGAAGGGGTACGTTTTGCAAAAGTCACATCCCAGGAAGGGGTTTGGTAAATTTGAGCAACAGCAAAAAGGCCTCCCATGCCAAAGGAAATGCACATGTGTAAGGCAGGTCCCCATGGGTGGTAGATACAATTTACTAATAGCCAGGAATGTAGAAAAGTTAAGTTTATTGATATATTGTAAGAGAGCAGGGGGCAAGTCCAAAAGAGGACCTTGCTGTCAGTTAGCAAGGTTCTGGGGTGCTGTGGGGTCTTCCTAGAGATTCTTTCTAGGTTCTTGTCCTGAATGAAGAATTGGTCAAGACAAGCAGAAAAAAGAGTGAGGTTTTTAAATTCATTAAAGGTAGGAAAAGACATATGTTCTGTAGAGTGGGCAAGTGCTCGGCAATTAAAAGTGGGAAAAGAAGTACACTCAGGGAAAGAGCTTATGACCGCCATCTTTTATAGCCCTCATTCTGACATCAGATCTAGGCTGACCTATTAAAAACTGGCTTGATCTTGTGCCAGAAGAATTGAAGATAGCATTTTCTGATTGGCCCCAGGTGCAGGGTCTGTGCACATGCATCCGGCATTCCCATGACTGACAGGTCAGCCCACTTGCCCAGCTGGCTGACCATGCCCTACTCTCCTGCCTCCTTAGGATGAAAGGCTGAGATGTGTTTTTGTTCTGTGTTTTGTTTTATTCGAGATAGGATCTTGCTCTGTAGTGCAGGCTGGCCTTGAACTCACTATGTGCCCAGGTTGGCCTTGGATTCATGATGATCCTCCTGCCTCAGCCTCCTGAGTGCTAGGATTACAGGCGTGCACCAACCATGCCTGACTGAGACTTTCATACTGTATTTGATTTTAACGTGAGGAGGCGATCTGGAAACGTCATCCCCGGAGTGCTTTCATCAGGTCATGGTGGTTCTGTTGTCTGTCTCAGTTCTGAGGATGGTCAGGTGTGGTTGAACAACGGATGTGAGTCAGGAGGACCGAGGCTGGCCTGGGCTACATAAAGACTGATGTAACGTTTTGTTCTACAGGCGCCAGTCAGTACCCCTGCTGTTGCTAGAAACAGTCCTGAGTAAAATTGACTAGTGTAGGGGCCAGGGACATAGCTCAGCGGCACAAGTACCTGCCTAGCAAGTGCAAGGTCCTGAGTTTGATACCTGGTACCAAAAATAAATAAATAAATAAGTACTGACAAATGTGTGAAGATTGACTAATGTTATGGTCAAGGAAATCAGAATAAAATATGTATGTTTGTACTGGAAAGGGACTTTTGATGTTCTGTTGTGTGAGAGGAGAAGAAGTGGTGTTCTTGAAGACATGACAAGCAGTTAGAGATCTACTGATGTATGCACGGTTCTTGTGCATAGTTTGCAAGGTGGGAAAGTTCCACTACAGACTCATCACTCAGCTATAGTGTGGCCTCTGAAGAAACAATGGTAAAATAGCCATGATTTCCCCACAGCTGGGACAGTGGGGCAGGGCGCGTGTGTGTTCACATGCGCACACGCATGGGGGAAGGGGAGGGAAGTGGCTCTGGAGAAGGAAGCTGAGGGCCCAGATGCTGGATCCCGTAGGGCTCTTGGGCCTGAGCGTTGTATGTTGATCCACCAAGTGATACATGTGGCCTCGGTCCCCAGAACTCCATCATCAAGTGGATACAGCGTGTAATGTAAATGTGACGACCACTGGATTTATCATCCAGCTGGGCGTGCGGGTGCACACCTGTACCTAGCACTCTGGAGGCTGAGGCAGGAGGATCACCACAAGTTCAGGGACAGCCTGGGCTACACAGTGAATTCCCTCAGCCTGGATTGCATAGTAAGACCCTGACTCAAAAAACCAAAACCCAAACAAAAGAATTTATTATCCAAACTAAGGTACCCCTGAGAGTAAGCGGGATAGTGTTAATTATGCTGAAACATGGGTACAAAGCAGTTCCTAGAGACCAGTTTTCAACGACTCCAGAAAGCAGGCTTTGAAATGACAAGGTCAGTCACATGTTCTGCTTTGTCACATCTTCCTCTCCCTCTCCAGTGAGCACCTCTGTGAGGGCCCCCGGAGAAGCACAGCACCATCACCTGCCCAGCTGCAGCCTTGCACTTTGCAGCCTGCCAGCTCGCAAGAGCTTGGATCTTTGCTGTGAAGCAGGCCTTATTAATGTGATTTCAGAATTAAAGTCTTTGAAACTTATAGGAAAGAAAGCAAAGGCTTAAATATGTGGCACATGAACTTTTCCCACCAGAAACTTCCTACAGTGCTTCTCAGGGAGGCCCGACCTAATTATATGTTCCCGGATGCTGGCCAGGTGCAGCGTGGGTGCGGTCCAATTTAAACCTCTCTCTCGGAGTAAGCAGGTTTGGGGAATTGGCCCTCTGGTGGGTACTGCGCTGAGCGAGTACCTACAGGAAACTTCCCACAGATATAAAGCCTTCTTCAGCCATGACAGGGGCATGAAGTAGTGAATCGCTTTCAAAACAGAAGAAACGTTTTCACAATTGATTAGATTTTTAATAGAATCAACAGTTTGGCTAAACCCGCGTCATGAGGATCGATGGAGCTTTATTTCCTGCTTTCAGGCCCAAGTCATACAGCAGGGCCCTCAAGGTGCTCTAGTAACTCTTTCAGCTTACTGAGAAATGGGTCACTTTGCATTACACTAATATTTAATAAAATTTACTGCAACTGCAAGCCCATTGAAGAGTTTGGGGTCTCATTGTCTTCCTCGACTCCCCACCTCAGCCGTTCACTAACATGGTACGGGCCCCCCTTCCCTAAAATAGTAATATTTATTGTTTGTATTCTGCCAATACTGAAGACACTTCGAGGTGCTTTACTATTTTCAAACTGCATTAAAGCTCTTGCTTTTGTTTTATAAGCCAGGAAATGTGAAGAGTTCACCTGGAAATAAGTAGAAAACTCCATGCTCTGCCCTTTTAATCAGGTAAAGAACAAGAAAACTCTGGTTATTTTCAGCATTGTTCGTGCCAACTAAAATTACTTGTCTTTAATCAATTTAATTTAATTAATTATAGCCATTTCACCTTGATGTGGAAACTTTTTATTCCATCTCTAATTTCTAGGCTTAAGTGCCATGACTTATTTGTGTTTGTTCCCAGGGGCTACCTGGGGTTTTTAGACAAGCTGGAACCAGACAGTTGGGATTTGTCTACAAATCTATTTCAAACAATTGAAAAGTGCTATTATTTTCGAGGTTTTTTTTTTTCAAACTATACTTTCTTATCATAAGCACACTAGGATTTAGCTAATACTCATTCAAATAAATACTTGTGTGCATGACTATTACAGGGAAGCTCAAGATTATGTAGCGATATTATCTTAAGTGACAGGCAATTTCATTAATTATTACTAGGCATAATTATTCTATACCTTCTCTAATGACTAAATAACCTAAAGCTAGAGAAACTTAGGATATTAGATGAAGTCGGAAAACCAGTGAGATTTCTTTTGATCTTGAACTCAAATTTATTATCTATTTTAATTTATTTGCTCAGTATTTCCTTATCAAGCACCTGCTAAATACAAAATTACTAGGTAATATTATTTTGTGTACATATTAAAATTGTATTATATCTTGTGATTTGCTGATAATTAAAGATTATATTGAATTTGAAACCTAGATATTCAACTATAGAAAAATGGTTTAATTATAGTTATCAATAGGAGGAGTATTATTCTGTTTCAGTGATATTTATTTATTTATTTTTTTATTTATTTTTTTGGTTTTTCTCCGGTACCGGGAACCGAACTCACGACCTTGCGCTTGCCAGGCAGGCGCTTTTGCCGCTGAGCTAAATCCCCAGCCCCTGTTTCAGTGATATTTAATTGCATGGGAGCATGTACACAATTATCAAATGGAGAAAAAGGATAGTGTGATACATTATCAGGCCAAAAAGTATAACAGAAAATTTACATGTACCTCTTTCAGGTAGTAATATGATTTTTACCCTTTTTTATAATTTCCTGTGTTTTGAAAATTTTCTCCAGTTAATGCGAATTTTCTTTTATAGTCAGGTTTTATTGTTTTGCAGTGCTGGGGGTTAAACCCAGGGCCTTTCCACGTGCTAGGCAAGTACTCTAGCACTGAGCTGCATCCCAGCCCTCCTTAGTTTTTACTCTGCGACAGAGTCTCGCTAGGTTGCCCAGGGTGGCTCTCATTTGTGATCTCCTCTCCCTCAACACCCGCTCCCCGCAGTAGCTGTCCCCATATTTTTAGAGAGTCATATTAACTTAAAATTTGGGGGCCAGCTGGCCCAGCCCCCTGCCTGCGCACATTCCCATCGCCCTGTGTACGCCCTCATTTTGCGGTGCTAACAGCCCACAGGGTGGCCGTCTTTGGACAGTTAGGAAGCTGTTTCTTCTAAGCAAAAATCTGTTTCCTGTGACCCCTAAGCAGTGGTCCTGATGGAAAACAAGTCTAGTTCCTCCGTTACATTTATAGTGGTGGCACAGTCAGTAGTTCGCAGAGAGTGCTATGTAAACAACTTCGTGGATAAACCCAAGGCAGAGGCCCAGGCCCGCCCCGGAATCTGTAGGCGAGAAAGGATTAGAGAGGAGACTACAAGGTGAGCAGCCAGAGAGCCGCACATCCTCCAGATTTATGTTGAATGTGGCTGTGTTTCTCTACTTGGTTGATGAGCCATCCAAGAGCAAGCTGGTAATTATCCATTTCACTTTCCAGAGATATTCTGGACCAGAATTCAGCTTACTGCATATGCAAGCTTGACCTCACTCTTGATTTTTCTTTTTAGGTCTTTATTGGAGGTGCAGCTTTTCATTATAAAAGCAATGCATATTGGGTGTAAAAAAGGACGTTATTGGGTGATGTTTTTGGGTAGTGCTGAGGATTGAACCCAGGGCTTTTGTACATGCTAGGCAAATGTTCTACCAATGAGCTACATCCTCGGCTCCATTTTTTTTTCTGGTACTGGGAATTGAACCCAGGGCCTTTGCACTGAGCTACATCTCAAGCCCCTTTTATTTCTTTTTACTTTGAGCCAAGCTCTGCCTAGATTACTGAGCTGCCCAGGCTGATTTTGAACTTGCAGTTATCCTGACTCAGCCTCCCAAAACACTGGGATTACAGTTGTGCACCACCAAACCCAGCTAATAGTTTTAAAACTTGTCTCCTATTCCTTTCCCACAAGTAATTTCTGTTCATAGTTTCATACATCATTTCAGAGTTTTTAGTGTTTGTGTATACAAATGGATGCTTTTGGTGTTTTGACAAAATGAGATCATATACCTCATATTGTTCTGCAAGTACATGGAAAATTCCCTGAAGACACATAATTATAATTTTATTATCACACCTAAAAAATTAACACTCTTTCCTTGATAGCATCTAGTATCCAGTCAGTGTACAGATTTCCTGATTGTCTCATTAATAACTTCTTATAGTTGGTTTGTTTGAACCAGGATTCAAACAAATTCTGCCTCTTGCATTTCACTGATAGGTCTCCCATCTCTTCCATTTATTTATCTGTTTTTATTTGTATATTTTTGGCGGAACTGGGGTTTGTACCCAGGGCTTGTGCATTCTAGGCAAGTGCTCTACCACTGAGCTAAATCACCAGCCCTCTAAGTCTCTTTTACCATTTATTTGTTGAGAAGCCTGGCTTATTCATACTTTAGAATTTGCCATGTTCTGGCTGTAGCTGAATATATTCATTTAGTGTTGCTCCACGTGTCTCTTGGTTTTTTTCTTTGTATTTCCCAAAAACTGATAGTTGGATCTGAAGGTTTAATCAGATTTAGGTTCCATGTTTTGGTAAGAATACTTCATAGGCAGTGCTTTGTTTAGTTCTATTGAATGAATGGATGAATTTGCTTTTTTCACTTAATATACTACTGATATGTGCACCCTTGTCATTAAATATACATCCACCTCATCCCTTCTTTATTTACTTAATGATTTACTAGTATGGACCACTGCCATGGTCGATATGGGTTGTTCAATAGGGTTCTGGGGGAGGTTATGTTGTTTTTTTGGGTTGTTTGGTACTGGGGAATTAAACCCTGGGCCTTCATGCTGAGCTACATCCCTACCCCTTTTTCAATGTTTTATTTTGGCATAGAGTTTCACTAAATTGCTCAGGCTGGGCTCAAACTTGTGATCTTCCTGCCTCAGCCTCCCAGAGTCCTGGGATTACAGGTGTGTGCTGCCATGCCTAGCTTCTCAGTTTTTAATTTTTAACAATGCAATACATCTGTTAAATTCTTAGGAGGCCGAAAACAGATTAATAAACTGAAATAAAGGCCGGGTGTGGTGGCACACGCCTGTCATCCTGGCACTTGGGAAGATGAGGCAGAAGGATCACTGCAAGTTCAAGACCAGCGTGGGCTACATAGTGAGTTCAAGGTCAGCCTGAACTATATGGTGAGACTGTGCCTAAAAAAATCCACAAATAAATAAATACTGAAAAAGATAAGCTAGTAGTTTACATGTTTAATGTAATCATTTTAGGGGTTTTTTCTTTTGGTTTTGTTTTTTGGTTGAGATGGGATCTAGCTATGTAATTCAGGCTGGCTTTGAACTCAGTATGTAGTCCAGGCTGCCCTTAAACTTGTGGTGATCTCATTGCCTCAGCCTTCAGGGTGCTGGGATTATGGGCATGTGGCACTGCACCTGGGTATAATTTTTGGTTTTATATTAAAAGATCAAGCTGGGCATGGTGGCACATACCCGTAATCCCAGCATTCGGGAGGCTGAGGCAGGAGGATCGTTGCGAGTTCGAGACTAGTCTGGGCTACAAAGTGAGTTCAAGGCCAGCCTGAACTACACAGCGAGACCCTGTCTTAAAAAGACAAAAGTAAATAAATAAATAAAATAAAAGATCAAGTAAATAGTCACTGACCTCTAAAATATTAGGCTGGGAATGCAGCTCAGTGGTAGAGTGCTTGCCCAGCATGAGTAAGGCCCCAGATTCCATCTCTAGCCCTGCAAAAATACACAATATTTATAAAGCTCAAATTGCTACATATAGTGTTCGTTACACATGAAGGAAAAAGCCATCTGGAAAAAACTCAGTTTGGCCTTGGCATGTCTTTGAATTTATGTGTGTTTCGTTCCAGAAAAGGTTAAAAGAATGACAGGTAACGTGAAGTGAGGAATGCACCTGACTGAGGCTGATAAGTCGCACACTTTCCAGCACATACAGGGAATATAGTTTGATCAAGTGGTGAGATTTGAGGTGTGCTCTGAACTACTTAGGCATTTGCTTTATACATATTCATCTATCTGTCTTAGTTACTTTATTCAGTGCTGAGACATAATATCTGACACCTGCAAATTAAAGGAGGAAAGGTTTATCTGGCTCAGAGTTTGTAGAGGTTTCAGGCAATAGTTGGCTGGCTTCAAGACAGGGCAGTGTGGTAGAGGGGCATCACAGAGGAGAAGGAGCTCATGGCAGGCAGGAAGCAGAGAGGAATCAAGGGAGGAGGAGGGACACAAAGTCTTCCAGGCCACACCCCCAGTGATCCACCTCCTCCAACCAGGCTTCACCTCCCAACACCACATTTAGCTACAACTTCATCAGTGGATGAATCCACTGATGAGTATCACACCCCCATGATCAAGTCACCTCCCAAAAGCCTCACCTATAAGTGCATGAGGCTTTGGGGAACATCTAGATGTAAACCATAGCACCATCCATCCGTTTCATTTTGCTCAGGTACACAGTCGGTTAACAGTCTGAATGTAGTAATGATGGACCACAAAGCATTTATGAGTTTTAGTTTAACCACCTGTGAAATGGGAATAATTGCTATTTTCTCTGGCTCATGATCCTTATAGTCATGTAATGGTAATGTATATATTTTATTTTATATGATTTCTCTATTTAAATTTTTAAAAGTTTCAAACTGCAAGCTTTTAAGGGTTTTTAGTTTTTCTTCACAGTTTATTTGTGTTTTTCTTTTCTTTTAGTTATAGGAAACATTGGAAACTTCAGACAGTAAATCAGTATTTCTACAGAAAAGTGGCAGAGAAGACAATACTGAATGTAGAAAACTGGCTTTCTTCTTCAGGAAAAACTATACTAGGCCTTTTTGTTATCTTGGGTGATGCCATTCTGCAAGTGGACTAAGCTGAAATCTTTTCACCTAGAGATAATGTACGAGCCTTAGAACACCTTGTTCTCATGTTGCTATTTATGTACATAATTAAAATCCAAAAGGAGAAAAGCAAGAGTTGTCATGTTTTCTTTACTAATACCACTGAGTGACAGTTTAAGCATAGCAGGTACTCCTATGTGTGTGTGTGTGTGTGTGTGTGTGTGTGTGTGTGTATACACACTAAAGACAACTGTTACCTCTTCTTAGGGCAGTGGCAGCTGGCACCCTGCAGCCTGAGCCCCACAGCTCAGAGGAGAGTAAAGAGAGGAGTCTGGGGTTTTGAGACAGACAGGGCTTCAAAACCCAGCACCAGGATCAAACCTGGAAGGAACACAGTTTGCCTTAGAAGACATACAAAAGAAAATAGTAACAGTGACCTTTGTTATGGCTGTCACCTCCCTCTTTGTATAGCTCTCCCGGTTCCTGAGTGCCGTTGAGGCTCCTGGTGTGGCAGTGCGCGTCCTATGCAGTGGACAGTGGTCCGTGGCGCTGCGGCTGTATGCGTGGCTGTGCTCCTCCTGTATGCTCCCCGAATGCACACCTCAGGACCAGTGGGATCAGCAGGCACCTTCTTTGACTTCTCAACCAGCTAAGAAGGATGTCAGGGGCACACTTTGTGAAAGAGAGTTGAGAATTTCCAAATTTTACTGGGCGTGGTGACACACACCTTGTAATCCCAGCACTCAGGAGGCTGAGGCAGGAGGATTATCATCAATCCAAGAACAACCTGGGCACGTAGTGAGTTTCAAGGCCAGCCTACAGTTCATAGTGAGACCCTGTCTCAGAAAAAAAGTTCCAGATTTCAGTCAGAAATGGTGTGGTTGGTTCTGTGATAACAGATTCCTACAAAAGACTGCTTTGTCAGAAATCAGGATTTAAAAGCAGTTGCTTCAGCTGGGTGTGGTGGTGCAGTCTCTAATCCTCGGGAGGCTGAGGCAGCAGAATTGCCATGAGTTCCAGGCCAGTGTGGGCTACATAATGAGCCCAAGGCTAACCTGAACTACATGGCAAGACCCTGTCTGAAAAAAGCTAAGGAAAGTACCAGGCATGGTGGTGCCCGCCTGGAATCCCAGCACTCTTGGGAGGCTAAGGCGGGAGGTTTCTGCAAATTCAAGGCCAGCCTGGCCTACATAGTGAGTTTAAGGCCTCCTTGGACTACATAGTGAGACCCTGTCTCAAAAAAAAAAAAAAAAAAAGAAAAAGAAAAAGGAAATAAAACCCTAGAGCCAGAAAATAAACTAAGCTTTGTAAATAAGTACGTAAGTAAGTAAGTAAATGCAGACCATTGCTTCAATGGGAAAAAATAAAAGGACAGGCACTAAAGAAGGCCTTGGCCAATCTTACCACGTTTATTATAGCTCGGGACAAAGCGAAGAGCAGTGCAGTTAGAGCTCACAGTGCCTGGGCAATGGCTGCACAGCTTTTGTCCCAGAGCTGGTGCTGGATCCTGGCCTGGTAGCAGCCAAGGTGATAAAAGCATTATCCTAGCCAAGGCATCGTGATGTTCTGTGCAGACAGCCTAAGTGAAGTGCAGGAGGCAACATGCTGTGTTCACCTAGAGGAAACATATGATTTGCTCGAGGTTAAATAGCAAATTGTAGCTGCACACATATAATCCCAGTGCTCTGGGAGGCTGAGACAGGAGGACTGCAAGTTTCAACCCAGGCCGGGCAATTTAGTGACTTAGTGAGACCCTGTCACACACATACACAAAAAAATACATAAAGGACCGAGGATGTAGCTCCGTGAAAAGGCCCAGAATTCAGTCCCCAGTATTGAAAAAAAAAGTAAAGACATTAATGACAGAATTAGGTCATGCAGTAAGTATGACTGATTTCTATGAGTGTAAAAATATAATTCAAAAACCTTGAAATGAGAGAAATAAATTCTTTGGTCATTGGATGAGGGTCATTGTGTTTAATGAGTGTAGTCTGCACTTGTCATCTGAGCAAGGCTTAGCATTTAGAAAATACTTTTCTTTGTGACCAGTGTTACTCATGCTTGTTGTGTAAACTGAATGACTTACTGTGACTATGAAAGTTTTGTTTTTGTGTTTTGAGACAGGGTCTCTCTCTGCAGTTCAGGCTGGCCTTGAACTCATAGTGATCCTCCTGCCTCAGCCTCCCAAGTGCTGGGATTCAGGTGTGTGCCACCATGCCTGGCTAAAGGTTTCCTTTTTGAGTGCAATATTCTTACCCAGTGTAATGCAGACACATTCTGAGAGGATCCACGATACATTTGTGGGACTAAATTCTTTCACGGTTCAATTTTCATTAAAAGTAAGTATCTGAGGTAATGGTCTTGTTCACCACTGGTTGAAAGCAGCTTGCTTAAGGTTTTGATTTTCACCCCGGAAACCTCCTGCCTGATGTGTCCTTTCTCTCTATTCAGGTTCCAAGTGAGCTAGTAGCCAGCGCGCAGCACTGCACCGAGGTACAATGAGGTCAAACTCCAGATGCAGCACAAGAGCAGGCTTTTTTATGTTTATGAAATGATGGCCAAGGAGATTTCTGCTCGGAAGAAAAGTTTGTTTTTGAAAAGCAAGCATTTCACTTCACGTTTGGTTCACTTAGCAAGCCTGCTTAAGTTGCCTTTATCTTTTTAATCAAGTACAAGGCTTTGGTGCTGACTCCAGAAAGAAAAATAGTAGCCAAGGGAGTGATTCCTCCCCCTGCCCTCCCCCAGTCTGAGAAACAGCCTTCACCAAGATGCTTATAATCAAGCCTGGTGTGCTGCACACCTGTAATCCCAGCACTGAAAGGCTGAGGCAGGAGAAATGCTAAGAGTTTGAGGCCAGCCTGCACTACATACGTACTGGGTTTAAGGCCTGCCTGAACTACATAGCAAAACCCTATCTCAAAAAGCAAAACAAAACAAAAAAAGATGTGAATGGTTCCTTGGGCAAACTCTGACCCAAGAGGGGCGCCCTGTGGGATTCCTGCTTCAGTGACAATGTGGAAGATGGAAGGTAAAAAGCAGAGATGAGGAAACCATGGGATTCAAAGACTGTTCCACTAAGAAGTAAATGCAAAGTGAATCTCTGAAATGCTTCAATTTTATTAGGAGTGACCCCAAAATTTGTATATAGTCAGTAACATGATCTTGAATGCATTGTTCTCTGCAGGAGAAACATCAGTGTTTAAATAACCATCTAGCTGGGCATAGTGGTGCACACCTGTAATCCCAGTACTCTGGAGGCTGAGGCAGGAAGATCACAAATTTGAGGCCAGTTGGATCTACATGGCAAGATACTAGCTAAAAAAATTGATTTTCTAACTTAGGAGAAAATGGACTCCAGGTGATAGTGGTATCTGAATACATGCATTATTTTCTTCTGAAACCCCAGGAAGACAAGAGAAAATGGATTTTTTTAAAAAATAAGGTCTTGCTATGTTACTGAGGCCATCCTGCGTCAGCCTCCCCAGTAGCTGGGTCTATAGGCACGTATTACTGTGCCTGCTAGGAAAGGAATTTTTGTTTTGTTTGGGGGAATTGGTTGTTTGATTAATTGATTAATTGACTTAGATACAAGGTTTCTCCATGTAGCCCAGACTGGCCTCAATCTCACAGCAATCCTCCTGCCTCAGCCTCCTGAGTACTGGGATTACAGGCATGTACCATTATGCCTGTCTAGGAAAAGGACTTTTTCAATGGCATTAGCACACAGATGTGAGGAGCAGACAGAGCTTGACCAGTGAGTACTGAGTTAGAGTTGGGAGCAGGAGGTACTGGTGGGAAATTGCATGGTAGAGTGACTGTGGATAACACATATACTATATATTTCACAAAGCTAGAAGAAAGGAGTTTGACTTTTCACCATGCAGAGATGATAAATGCAAAAATAATAAATGATATATGTTTGGGGAAATAGCTAAGTTTGCCCTGATTTAAGCATTATACAACTTATACATGCATTAAACCATCACATGGTACCCCAGATACATGGATACTTTTTATGTTTCTATATGTCAGTCAAAACATAAATGGGCTAGAGGTGTAGCTCAGTGGTAGTGTGTGCTTGGCATATAATCCCCAGCACACTCCCAGCCTCATTTTTAATGTTTTTTTTCTTTTGTTTTGAGATGGTGTTGCTTTGTAGTTCAGGCTGGCATTGAACTCACTATGTAGCTATGGGGAACTATTCAGACAGTCAAAGCTCTGGGCATGTAAGGATGCTTCTGGACAGCCAGCCCTGAGGATATGACCCCACTGTCAGTGTGGGGGCAGAATGGGACACAATTATATAACCATGACTTAGCAGTGGACAACTATGCATTCACCAATGAGGCCAGCATGTAAGAATGTAAATAGGTGATAACAATCTGTATAAGAATTATACAGTAAAAACAGACTGCTCTTGTGCACTTGCACTCTACTCTGCTCCATGCTGCCTGCTGTTGCTGATGTCTTGCACATGTGTGTTCTTTAATCTGGGTACCTCACCCTTGAAATCTCCCTTGTTGTCCCCCCGCCAGCAGGCCAACAGTAGCCTAGGCTGGTCTCTCTTAGCAATCCTCCTGCCTCAGCCTCCTAAATGCTGGAATTATAGGCATGCATCACCACATCTGGCCAAGTTTTTAATTTAAGATTCAAAAGATAGCATTACCACATAGGAAAACGATGAGGGAGAGAGTGAACTTGTTTTTTACTTGTAACAGATGTAGCAGAACTGTTTAAAACTGTGTTCATGTAGCATTGATAGAAGTAAAAATGAAATAATAAAACATTTGGAAACAAATTCTAGAAACAGTAAGGAACTTAACATTAAAAGTCTCCTATTTAGTTTGTAAATTTTGGTGCCCTGTGCCTCTCCAAGGGTGCTCCTGTAATGAAGCCATACAAGGCTTTGCTCCCCATTTTTAATTTTCTTTTTCTTATTTGGCTGGGCTTTTTGTTGTTTTCTGTGTGCATGTGTAGTGCTTGGGACTGGACTTAGGGCCTTCAGATGTGAGATAAGCATTCTACCACTGAGCTACACCCCAGCCCTCCCCATTTTAAAAAGTTTTCAAAATTTATCGTGTGTCTGTGTCGATGGCATTTTACCAGTCAAAGCTCTGATTCATTTTCTGACTC